CTTCGCCGCCCGGGCCGCCGGCACCGCCGGCGTCACTGCTGCTGCTGCTGTCGGTGGGGCTGTCACTCCCTCCGCCGAAGTCGCCCCTTCCCGACGGGGGAGACGGGGGAACGCTGCCTCCGTCCCCCTGAATCCCGAAGCCGGGTGCTGTCGGCGCCTCCTCGAGCACAAACGGCGTCGCTTGCCCTGGCCCACGAGCCTCCATCACGTCGAGGTCGGACTCACTCTCTGAGTCTCTCTCCCCCCCCCAACCTTGGCGTGATGCATCCGCTCTGCTCTCGCCCTCCCCGCCCTCCTCGTCATCTGCGAGAGGTAGCAGCTGCGGGGGAGCGGGCGATGCAGCGGGCATGTGGCGCCAGGTGAAATTGCGGGTGGTGATTACGGTTCCAACTTCGGTTAGCATGCGAACGCAGTCACAGAGATGATTGTGGGCAGGACCAAGGTACCATCCTTTTTCGCCCTTGGGTTGCGTCCGTGTCTGCGGCAAACTTCCGCAAACTGCCCCTGGAACTCGCCGCCACCGTCGGTACGTGCAACATAAACCTCACACGGAACCCCTTTCGTTCGGTAGTCCGCCAGGAACTTCTCAAACCCAACCGCTGCGTCAGACTTGTGTTTCAAGAAGAAAACACGCGTCCAACGGGATAAATCGTCTCTGATGATCAGTGTGTACCAGTTGCCACCAATGCTCCTGGTTTTCATTTGCCTCCCAAGTCGAGATACACGCGAAATAATTTCTTAACTGCGCGTGTGCTCGTGCTCTTCTGGACGTGTTTCACCTGTCCCTTGGACATCAAACAGCCAAGACAGGGTAGCAGCGGTCCATCCGTCAGCTGCACTCCCTGCTGCTCCGCCGTGATCCTGAGCAATGTCTCTTGGGCATGGCCGTGCGCGAGGTGGTACTCGTTGAGGTCAGTGGGGTTGGCTGCTTTCGCATCGCCAGGAACAATGAGTGCGGCACAGGCGGTGTGTAGCGTTGGCTTTATTTGATAGCCTCGTTGGGTCAGCAGCTTTCCAGTCCGGGGGAGCCACACCTCCTCCCCGGCTTTCGTGGTCAGCGTGAGGCCCCCCTTTATCCCCGAATACGTGTGGCCCTCCTTTGCCAACGAAGACAGCGAGAGGTCGTAGGGGGCCTCTGGTACATGGGCAGCATTCAGTACTGGTATGGGTACTCCACCATCTTCCGTCTGCAGGACTAAGGTCACATCTCCGTATCCTAGAAGCGAAACGGTGGCCTTGTCACCTCCGATCCCCTTCACCCAACCGCTACGCTCACGGTATTTCGCGAAGTTGTCTGCACATCGGAACATGGAGCACGTGGCCGCTGTGTCGGCCACGTACACCGCCTGGCCTTGTTCCACAACCCCCACTAGACCTACTTCACCAACGGTACCTTACTCGCCTGAGGGGACTGCCACGGCACAATATGCCTGGTCTTCCACGGAGTCCACGTCGCTCTCATGCTCCACCACTTGCGCTAGGACGGCCTCCTCCGTCGCGCACTTTTCTTTGGTGTGGCCCCACCCCTCGCAGCGCGCACACCACGGCACGAAGTCCTTCTCGTTGGTAGTGCAGCCGATCGCTTGATGTCCACGATGTCCACACCTCAAGCACCGGCCCGGGAACTTATAGTCCCCGCCACCGCCGCCATCGGCGCCTCCACTGCTGCTTCCCTTGCTCTCCTCTACTCCTCCGGATCCGCCTGAGCGGCAGCCGCGACCGCCGCCGCCGCCGCCGCCGCCGCGACCGCCTCCGCCGCGACCGCCTCCGCCGCGACCACGACTGCTGCTGCGGCCACGGCCGCCGCCACGACCACGACTTTGCCCCTGACTCCTACTTGAGTACCGCTCCCTGCGGCCCTCACCGTCGGTGAAGTACGCTTGCTCTGCGCCCTTCGCCCCTTTTCCTTTCCCCTGCTCCAGCTTGTCCTTGATCGCCTTGTATTCGATCATTACTTCCTTTAGCACACCGGTCCGCGTCAACTCCTTCGCGTGTCGCAGGTTGTGCTTTGTCATGGCATACTCGTCCGAAAGGGCATCCAGGAAGAGGTGAAGGACGAACGTTTCGTCGACAGTTAGTCCTTTCTCGGTTAAGGACTTTGCGGTCTGGAGCATTTCATTTAGGGCGTTTTGGGGGTTTTCACCTCTAGATCTTGGTCGACGTCAGGGACTTGGGTTCGCTGACGGCTGTACAGATGATTCAGGGTCGTGTATGGTCTTGAGCTCACGAAGAGCTCCCTGGGGCGTCTCTGCCCTCTTCATGATTTTCCGATCTTTTTCTTTCAACGCGTGAGACAGGAAGTTCCACGCGTGGAATGCGAGCTCTACTTGCTCGCTCCGGTACTGCTGTGACAGCGAAAACTTGCTCTTTCCGCTGTTGACGGGGATCTCCAAGCTCCCGCTCTCTTCAAATTGTTCCAACAGGTTTGCGCCATTAGCTGCCATGCGGAAATCATTTAGCCATTCGTTGAAATCTTTCGATTTCCCGCTGAACGGAGGAGAAGTGTACCGCACACTTTGGTACCCCGTCGCTGGGGTTGTGGCTCCGTATCCAAAGCCAACAGCAGCACCACCATCTCCCATGGCACTACTATAATCTTGGTTGTGAGCAGCGGCTACTCTCACCTCTTGGGGGACAAAGCCCCCTGCTTCGCCGCTGTGTCGCCATGACGGGCGAGACTCTCGAACAGGTTCGCGCAGGTACCTCCCGTACTGCGCACTCCCGGTCCACGGTGCCCCTCCTTCGGCGTTCGTGGACTCCGCGGCGGCGCTCTCCCTAGCATCGCCGCGATCAGCGGCACCCTCCATGGTGCCAGCTGGCTCCTCCCTCTTGCTTGCCTTCATGGTATGTTCCACTAGCGACATTAGCTGGCTCATCTGATCCGTCAGCGAACTAACTTGCGTCCTCAGGGCCACGAGCTCTTCTCTTGACATCTTTCTGTCTTCCGCCGCAGAGTCGCTGGAGGAGTCACCCCCATCTTTGCGACCTGACATTCCTAGTGCACTCTCCCTCGAGGGACTGACACTAGTTTGTTCGTAGATTTCCTTTACTTGGAAGGGGAAGACGTTCTATCTCTTGTATTAGACACGCANCCTCTTGCTTGCCTTCATGGTATGTTCCACTAGCGACATTAGCTGGCTCATCTGATCCGTCAGCGAACTAACTTGCGTCCTCAGGGCCACGAGCTCTTCTCTTGACATCTTTCTGTCTTCCGCCGCAGAGTCGCTGGAGGAGTCACCCCCATCTTTGCGACCTGACATTCCTAGTGCACTCTCCCTCGAGGGACTGACACTAGTTTGTTCGTAGATTTCCTTTACTTGGAAGGGGAAGACGTTCTATCTCTTGTATTAGACACGCAAGGGGAGTAGGGAGAAGTGAAGTCCTCTTTGGAGTTCGAGGGGTCCCCGCACATGCAACCATTTAAAGGTGTACATATGCCCCATCTGCGTGTCCTCTGTTGTTGCAGGTAGATATAACCAGTCCGTATCCAAGCACACGCCGTTCTCATTCATTTTCTTTTGTATCATGTCAGGTGAACAATGTATCGCCTAAGGGATGACACGCCCTTTAGAGCGTGGCCCAACCCTGGCGGGGGAAATTGTGGTCCGCACACCATCACCGATCTTCGTCGGATCAAGTCCGGGGTTCCCCCCGGAACAGCCCGCGTGGAACGGGAACAACTCGCCAGCATCCGCAAGCTTCACCCCAATATTTTTCGGGTTGACTTCGTACTTTATGTTCACGTCGTATTACGACTATATCACGAACCCAGAGAACCATCGGTTTCTAATGGCCCTGGGCGAGAATGCAGTAAAAGATAGAGCTGTTGCCGGGATGGCTTTGGAAAGGGAAGAGTTAATCAAGTTTGTCGCCCTCGCTTACTTTGATAAGCACCAGGCGCTATTTTCATATCCACTCGGGCACCAGGTAGATCCTATTGTTGATCGCAAAAAACGAGGAGGGGCGGTTGATGAAACAAGTGTGTGGGTTACTGCCGTCCACAAACGCATGTTAAGGAGTGTTGCTGTATGGCACAGATAGGGTACACAGTCGGTCTAGATTAAGATGGGGGACGTCAGGAGGTAT